GATTTTTCAAGATATTGCAGGATAGTTAAATAGATGGTCACTCAAGGTTTCTTTAGTTTTTTTGTTTTTGCTTTTGCCAAGGTAACGGATACATTTCCTCCACACACACCAATAATAAGCCGAACTGAGCTCAGCTGAATATTAATTTTATGCCTTTGCAAGCTTTTTGGTGTGGACCTCCACAACAGTCCCAGTTTGTCATGTGGCCCCTTGGGGAAAATTAATTGCCCACCTCTGTCTCAGGCCCTTAGGGATAAAAAAAGTGATGCTTTGGCTAGCTTTCATAGCGCATGACAGTTACTCTCAAGTGTACACTTGAAAGGCACACTTCAGAGGCTTTTAGCATTACCACTAACACATAAAATGCCATGTAATCCAACTATAAATATTATTCATTTATTTACGTATAGCTAATTTGGATTTTCTATTTTAAACGGCGTAATTACTCCCAGCGCTGCTGAATTCCTGTCTGAGTTGCTTGGCAACATCAAGCTGCGCAGGCTGGGGTTTGTAAGGCTGGACTAGTTGTTATAATCCTGACAAGTTTAAAGATTTTCATGAAGAGATTTTCTTAGATTGCTGTCAGTCTGTAGAACAGAACAGCGAGGCTTTCTGCTGTCCCTTTTACACTTATACAGACTGCCCCCCCCCCTCGCAGAAGAGATGTCTCTCTCTTCTTCTCTCACTTCCTCACTTTTACACTCTCAACTTTGGTTGTAGTTCCTCTGCCTGCGGTCTTATCTCTCTCTTTTTTTTACCCCTCCACAGCTCAGATCCTTAGACTCGAGCTACCGGCCTCACAGCTGTAATTATTATTTAAGTCATTATTAAGGAATTTGACAGGTCAAATAATATACACAGAGAAAAGAAGGTGTTTAGTTAAACTGGTTGCTAAAAGTTAATGTTCCCAGCCAATCAGACTCCTCAGAAATCTGCTCAACATGCTCATGAATACTTTATAGCAAACTGTGAAGCAGCAATAACCCAACATATAAATATCCTATAATAGTTATTTATTAATGATCTTATGCTGTTATTGCTCTTGAAACATTTATTAACTGTTTATGCCCAGCTGTATGTATCACAGGAGCTTATTCTAACAGACACTTGTATCTGTTTACAATTGCCTCATATTGTTTTAGTAGTATTTAACTATTTAGTCATTGATAGTTTATGTTTACATTGAGGGTAAAGATGTGTTGCTCCCACAGATGAGCTCCTTTTTCTGGTCTTTCATCACACTGAGATCCACTTTGATTTTAACCTTGAGTCAGGTTGTTGTGATCTTGTGGCGAGTTATCAGATTTCACGTCGTATTCTGAAAGCTGCTCTCAGCTTTTCACCTGTGATTGGGTTTGTGTTCGGATTAACAAAGTCAGTTGCACTGCTTCGCATTTGTTGCACCAGGAAATTGAGAAGTGAACTTCAATGCTCAGCGTTAACGCGCTTCGCTGTTTGTCGTTTAGGCTTTTGTCTGCTTTGCGTTTATTAATAACGGTTGACGTCGGAGGCTAACGCATATCTCACACTTATTGACTCGATATCAGTTGTGTAGCCTGATGCTGTTTAATCATCATTAAAAAAAAAAAAGCCATCTGGTTTGCTCTTTTACACCCAGAGTCACAAGAGTCCTGAGAAATCATGCATGTCTCATCATTAAACGAAGGAAAAAAGAGATCCTGGTGTGTTCTCTGTATAATTGCTGAGAGGATCTTATGATCTGTTTCTAACCAATTAGAGATGGAGTGCCGGGTCA